AACCATAAAAGTTTAATTTATAAATTAGACACAGTAAAAGATTAACAACAATAAAGAAAATAGAACATGGCTCACACCTGTAATCCCAGCACTTGGGAGGCTGAGGCAGAAGGATCGCTGTAAGTTTGAGACCAGCCTGGACTATACAATGAGTTCCAAGGCAGTCTGAACTACATAGTGCGACCCTGTCTCAAAAAAATCAAAAAAAAAAAAGAGAGAAAGAAAAGAAAACAGAACAATTACAACAATATACTCTAATAAAAATTATTTAAAACTTGCAAGAAAAACAATTCTAGACCTGTGCTAGCTAATGTATTAGCTGACACACATAGTTTTGTTTGTTTTTTCGTACCAGGGATCAAATCGAACTCAGGACCTTGCTCTTGTAAGGCAGATGTGGTGCCACTGAGCTAAATCACCAGCCCTTACATATTTAAGTTTCAATAAAATTTTAAATTCAGTGAACCCAGGACTTCTGTAATGAGTTATATGTCGGGAGCCATTCTACATAATTTTGGGTAAAGCCAAGGATTTAGCTCAGCAGTGCCACACCTGCCTGGCAAGCACAAGGTCCTGATTTCGATCCCTGGTACCAAGAAAAACAAAAGATAATTTTAGGGAAAAATCATTTCACAATTACATTACAATTAGGCCTAGTCTTCCTGCATACAGGCCAGCAATGATATGCCGAACCCTAACTATTTTTGCCTCTGGTCATAGCTGAGACCTCAATGGTCCTGTGATGCTCTAACTCTCAATAGCAAGATTACATCCACTGAGAAATGCTAGTTCCTTGTGAACTGAGTAGTAAGGGAAAGATTTCACCTGGGAACAGACAAATTCTTTATCACCTTAACTCATTCCATCTACTATTATAAGAAGTCTTTGCTCATCTTACCGTCCTAATCAACATAAGCTTCTCATCAGCATGAGATCCTCACGGTCATAAGATTACCACTACCCTGGGACATCTGATACTTCCTCTGATTATAAAATTCTTGTCAATTTAGGATTACTGCCTCCTTCTGTGTCATGTGTTACTCCCTATGAACCCAATAAATAGTGAAAAGCTCGAGTGCCTTTGTCTTTGCTGCCTAGAGTAACACTGATCAGGCCCAGAACCCAGCTTCCTCTTTAAATCTCATTTTCTGTCTTTATTCTTTAATTCACCTTGTGCTGTCAGGGCCCACACAGGAAACCAGAACCCACTGCAGGGGTTCTAGTAACATCCCCTTTCCCTGTTCCATACAACTATGTCCCCAGTCCTTTTTCATATTCCGCAATAGTCACATTCAAGTATTCAGTTGTCACATTACTGCAATTGAACAGTACAAATGTTGAACATAATCATTACTGTGAGTTCTAAAAAACAATTATTTTCACACCTAGCTCAAATATATCAGTTTTTAAGTGTTGCAAAATAGCATATATATAAAATCTCACTTTATAAGGCATAAATTTAATTCATATATAAAATTTGAAAAGCAATTATGAAAACATTTCATAATTTAAATGGCATTATTATAGGAAATGTTTTCTTTTTACTTATTAAAATACTTTCAAGGGGCCAGGGATTTAGCAGGCCACCTGCCTTGCAAGTGCAAGGTCCCGAGTTCGAGGCCAGCCTTGGCTACATAGTGAGTCCAAGGCCAGCCTGAACTACAGAGTGAGAACTTCTCTCAAAAAGAAAACAAAAAGCCAGCTATGGTGGCACTCTCCTGTAGCCCCAGAACTCAGGAAGCTGAGGCAGGAGGATCGCCACAAGCCAAAGCTACATAGAGAGTTTAGGGACAGCCTGAACTACAAAATAAGACTCTGTCTCAAAACAACAGCAACAACAACAACAAAAACAAAAACAAAAACTTTTAAAATATATGTGTGTTACTTATGTAATAAATGGAAATCACAAGGAGACACATTTGGCCTTAATATGAAAAACAGTAATAGCATTTAGTTTTGTGCAAAAATGGAATAACTTTAAAAAGAGTAATACAATGTTCCTTGTGCCGAAATAACAAGGATCAGCAAACTATAATCACTTGAGCCAAAACTGGCCCACTGATGCTTCTGTAGAGCCCACAAGCTAAGGATGGCTTTTAATTATTAATAGCTGAAAAACAAATAAAAATTCATATTTTCAAGTATATAAAAACTATAAACTTGGAGTTGGGCATGGTGGCACACATCTGTAATGCCAGCACTTCAGACACTAAGACAAGAGGATTGCAAGTTTGAGCCTAGCCTGGGCAATATAATAAGACCTGGTCTCAAAACACAAAATTTAAAAAAGGGCTGGGGGATGTAGCTGAGTGTAAAGGCCCTGGGTTCAAGCCCTAGAACCACAAAATTTCCAATAATCACTTATTCATGATTCCCTGTTAAATTAATTTTTCCAATGAAAGGTCTAAGTAAGAAGGCTTTTATGGTCAACCAAAATTTTATAACAGTGTTACTGATTTAAAACAAAACTAGGGGCTGGGGATTTAGCTCAGTGGTTCTGGCGCCAACCAAGGACCCGAGTTCGACCCCTGGTGCCAATAAATAAATAAAACTAAACTAAAACCAGATGCACACATGTAGTTCTACCATTTGAGAGGCTGAAGAAGACTGCTTCAAATTCAAGGGCAGTCTAGGCTACACAGTGAGTTCAAGGTCAACCTGAACTACACAAGACCCTGTCTTAAAAAAAAAAAAGAAAGAAAGAAAGCAAGAAAAAGGAAATCATTTAGACAAAGATAATAGAGGAGATGATAGGCAATGCAAGAGAAAAATAGGTCGTAAAATATAATTAAAAAATAAACAGCCGGGCTTGGTGGCACACGCCTATAATCCCAGCACTCGGGAGGCTGAGGCAAGAGGATCTCTGTGAGTTCAAGACCAGCCTGGGCTACACAATGAGTTCCAGGTCAGTCTCAACTACATAGTGAGACCCTATCTCAAAAAACTAAAAACAAAAATAAAATAAAGTAATAAAATAAAAACCAGAAATAATTGCTTATGTAAAAACTGTTTATTGCTAAAGACTAGAAAACAAAAAGTTAGTTTTTCGTGAGTTTGGTGCAATTATACATGTTTGGTGTCATACTTTGTTGGGGTTTTTTTTTTTTTTTTTTTGGTACCAGGGATAGAACTCCGGACCTTACGCTTTCGAGACAGGCAGAGGCACCACTGAGCTAAATCCCTGGACCCATATTTTCTTTTATGAATTTTAAAAGTCACTTTTGAGCCGGGTGTAGTGGCACACACCTATAGTCCCAGCATTTGGGAAGCTGAGGCAAGAGTATTGTCATATGTTCAAGGCCAGCCTGGGCTGCCCAGTCAGTGTAAGGCCAGCCTGCACTATAGACCAAGACCCTGTCTCAGAATAAAATATTTTAAAAATCACTTTTGATATAATTTCATTTAAATAGTAATCTACCTTAGGGTATTTTTTTTTTCTCATTGAGTTTACCTTAGGGTATTTTAAATGATTCAGGGGCTAGGCATATGGCTCAGTGGCAGAGCACATGCCTAGCATATACAAGGCTCTGGGTTTCATCCCTAATACTATATGTACAAAAAAAAAAAAAGATTAGCTTTTCAAAAGTAGAACACACCCAGGAGTTGTATGTAAGTGTTCACATTAGCACTGTTAAGAGTATCTTCTGTCATCTCTCCCCCTGGATTCCATCATTTCTCAATTCTAAGCACTATTCCTTGCTGAGCTTACAATAAGTAAGAACTGCCTCCAGAGCTGCAGTAAAAATTTATGGACAAGAACACTTAAGATAATGTTAACATTTAATGAAGAAAACTAATTCAGAATCTTGTGTTTTAAGTTTGATTTGGAGTGGCCAGGGTATACCTCAATAGTTGAACATTTGGCTGGCATGCACAAAGCTCTGACTGCTGCTTTTTTGGTTTGGCTTAGTTAATTTTTTCAGTGCTGAGAGCCTTAAATATGCCAAGCCAGGCAAACACTCTACCACTGAGCAACATCCCAAGCCCCTCAAATTTCTAAGGATCTATCAGACATACAAAATCACTGTATAAACCTCATTATCACTGAAATAAAGTCAATTAAAGAATCTTAATTTTGTAAGTTTAAAAATATTTATGTGCTGGGTACAATGGCACATGCCTATAACCCAGCTACTTGAGAGGCTGAGGTAAAAGGATTATAAATTCAAGCCAATCTAGGCAATTTAGGGAAACTTTGAATAAAATGAAGAGGGCTGGAGATATAGCTCAGTCGCAGAGTGCTTACTTAACACACACAAGACCTTGAATTCAATCCCTAGTACCTAAAACAAAAAATTATATAATTTTTTTGTTTCTTGAGACAGGGTCTAACTATACAGCCCCAGCTGGCTTTGAACTCGTGGTCCTCCTGCCTCAGTCTCCCAAACGCTGGGATTATAGGCTTGCAAAATTATACAATTCTGGGCTGGGGATGTAGCTCAGTGATGCTGCCATCTGCCTTATAAGTGCAAGGACCAAGTTCGATCCCTGGTACCAAAAAAACAACAATTCTAATCATGTCCTACTGAGCAAAATCTCTATTGGGAGGCGAGGCAGGATTGCCATGAGTCTGAGGCCAGCCTGAGCTACACAGAGTTCAAGGCCAGCCTGCACTACAAAGCGAGACCCTGTAAAGGAAAGGAAAGGAAAGGAAAAGAGAGGGGAGGGGAGGGGAAGGGAAAAAAGAAAGAAAGATAGCTCTCTAAAGAGAGATATAGGTTTCTATTTATTTGCATGTACATACCCTATTATCACCTGTATCAATGGCAATCATTTCAAATACCAAGCTCTTAAAAAATATTAAAAGTAAATGCTGTGGGGGTGGGAGTTACAAAAAGTAACTGCTTCTCAGAATGGGCCAGGAAAGGATGGGCTAAGGTTTTGGGTTTTTTTAAATAAACATCAATATCACCTATCTTATAACCACAGATATAAACCACTAAGACACAAACACGTCTATACATGCAGCCTTCATTATGACTGGAAGCCAAAGATAGTACCTTGGGGTAAGGGAAGCTGTTGCTCTTGCAGGTTCTCCTGAGAGAGGAGTCCCAAGTAGCTGAGAACGACATACTTTGTTTCATAGTGAAATCCTAGAGGTACTGTAGTAGAAGACGCCATTGATTTGGCTGACAGAGTTCCCAAGAGGTCTACTTACAGATGTGTCAGACCTAAAAACAGAAGATTTTTTTTTCAGTTTATCATATGACAGTACATTTTCCCACTGACTCCAATTATTCAACTGAATACCAAAATAAATGTCTCAGAAATTTCTTTCTGGTAATCTTTTAAAATCTATTCAATTTACATACAAATGACTATTTTTAGTTTTTTGAGATGAGGCACCACTATGTAGCCCAAGCTAGCCGCAAACTCTCTGTGTAGCTCAGGCAGGCCTGAGACTTGTGATTCTCCTGCCACAGCCTCCCAAGTGCTAGGATTACAAGAATGCACCCCCATGCCTAGCACAAATGGCAATGTACATACTCAGATTTCAGGTCAAAAGCAAACTTTTTCTTCCTGGTTTATTTTCACCTATGTGGCAAATACACATAGCAACGCCCCTCACCTCCACCGTAGTATATATTCTATTCTTTAGTAGCAAAGAAATGTTTAGCCAGGCCCATAGCCACATAGCTATAGACTCCAGGTCCCAGTCTTCCTCGAAGCTTACTCCATCAGCCTGGACCATGCACCTTGGGAATTTATTTAAATTGCTCACTTCTGTATCTCTTCACCAGGCATCCTAATTGTACCTAATCAATACTGCAACTCTCACTGTATCTGATGGGCCTGGGGGAGCTGCTTTACCTACCATATACTTTTTTTTCTGGTACCAGGGATTGAACTCAGGACCTTGCACTTGCAAGGCAGACACGGTGCTGCTGAGCTAAATCCCCAGCTACCATATACTTTAATAACTGTTTCACATCATTTTTTTCTTGTGCCATACTTAAGTGTTCCAAATAACTTTGGTTTCTTTTTTACTATACTTTATATTTACTAGATTTATTTTAAAACAGGTCTTATTATATAGTCCAGGCTGCTATTGAACTTGCTATGTAGCCCAGGCTAGGCTCAAACTCATGATCTTCCTGTGTCAGCTTCCTGCATGCATCACTACAATTGGCTATAACTTTGGTTTCTTTGTTTGTTCATTTTTTTTTGAGACAGGGTCTCACTACGTAGTTGAGAATGACCTGGAACTCACTATGTAGCCCAGGCTGGTCTCGAACTCACAGCAATCCTCCTTCTGAGTGCTGGGATTACAGGCATGAGCCACCTCGCCCGGCTTAACTTTGGTTTCTTTAAAAAAATGTATTTTTTGCTTTGGGCTGGGGATTTGACTCAGCAGTGCCACTGCCTGCCTCACAAGTGCAAGGTCCTGAGCTCCATCCCCAGTACCAAAACAAAATCACTTTAAGACTTCAATAAATACAGTATTTGTACCTTCCTTACCCACTAGCACAATACATTCTATGATCTTCAGGCAATACCTAAAGTCACTAAGAATACCAAATTCTATGTACGTTATGTTTTACTTTTTCCCCTTTTTTTCCTTTGGTACTTAATTGGAAACACTTTTCACTTAAAAGAAGCCCTTTGACTTCTCTGCTAACGTCACTACTCTTGCACTTTGGAGCCACTATTAAGTAATACAAGGTCTCCCTGAGTAAAAGTTTTGCAATACCAAGATGGCTGTTCTGACAACCTAGACAGCTACTATGGATTAGCAAATACTTCACTAAACAAAGAAGGGATAATCATTCTTTGGGCTGTACATGCAAGACTTTATCATGCTACTTAAAATGGTGTGCAATGTGAGTTCGAGACCAGCCTGGGCTACATAGTGAGTTCCAGGTCAGTCTCAACTACATAGTGAGATCCTGTCGCAAAAAAAAAAAGAAAAAAAAATGGTGTGCAAAACCAGGCATGGTGGCATACGCCTGTAATTCCAGAACTGCAGAGGCTGAGGCAGGAGGATCGCTGTGAGTTTGAGACCAGCCTGGACTACATAGTGAGTTCCAGGTCAGTCTCAACTACAGAGTGAGACCCTCTCTCAAAAAACAAACAAAATAAAGGTGTGCAATGCAAAACCTATTATTTCAGAAATGTTCCAGCTGGATATGCAGGCCTGTAACCCCCACCTTATGGGAGGCTGAGATAGAAGGATTTCAAGTTCAAACCCAGCCTGGGCAACCTTTTTTTTTTTTTTTTTTTTTTTTTGGTGCCGGGGATCAAACTCAGGACCTTGAGCTTTGAGGCAGGCAGCCCAACACTTTTTTAAAATAAGTAAAAGCAAGGGTTGGGGATGTGAAGAATATGGGCTTAATCCCCAGTACTGACAAAGAAGAGGGGGCTGCCATTTAACTTTTTTGTGTTTTCTGAGGCAGGGTCTCCCTCTGTAGTTCAGGCTGACCCTGAACTTACTATGTAGCCCAGGAAAGCCTTGAACTCACATCGATCCTCCTGCCTCAGCCTTGCAAGTGATGGGATTACAGGTGTATGCCGTATCACCTGGCTTGCCATTTAATGTTTTTAAACTGCAATTGACAACTAAGATAAATGTCTAGAATGATAAATACAGAAAATGCAGAATTTGAAAACATGCCAGGCATGGTAGAGACACACCTGTACTCCCAGCACTCTGGGAAGCTGAAGCATGAGGATTCTGAGCCTGCCTGGACAAGTTAGTCACTTAACAAGACCCTGTCTCAAATTTTTAAAATGGGCTGGGGATGTAGCTCAGAGTGAAGGTCCTGGGGTCAATCCACAGTACCGCCCACCCAAAAAAAAGAATTTAAAATACTCAAAGAATGTCTATATAGAGGCAACCTACTGAGTCTGCCTAAATACTAAGTCCATAGGACTGGGATATACCCTAGTGGTAGAGCACTTGCCTATAATGCACAGGGCCCTGGGTTAAATCCTTAGCACCAAAGAAAAGAAAGTGCATTCACAGTTGCAACTAATATCACTGTTTTCTTAGCCTATCAGAGGAATCTTGGTTCAACATTTAAAAGTCCATCTTGCTTCTCTTGGAGGAACACTATTAAATTTTATTAAAAGATCCAATATATAAAGTAATTGGACCAAGACCAATCTAGAAGTTTAGTAGTTCTCATAAATGTCAAAAAGGTATTTCAAAATTGCTGATGTATACTCCAAAGAAAGGGGGAAAGTTACAGCTTGTATCAGAGGAACAAGACATATCCATCACAGTCTTTAAATACTTTACTATTTAATATTGGGAAGATAGTTAAGAAGGGCTGGGGATTTAGCTCAGGGGTTCCACCACGTGCCTCCCAAGCATAAGTTCCCAAATTCGATCCCTGATACCAAAAAAAAAAAAAAAAAAAAATTGATGTATGAGAAAAAGGAAATCAGGGCTGGGGATTTAGCTCAGTGGTTCTGCTGCCTACTTTGCAAGCACAAGGTCCCAAGTGTGATCCCCAGTACCAAAAAAAAAGAAAGAAAGAAAAAAAAGAAAAAGAAAAAGAAAGAAAGAAAAGGGAAACTCAACCAGACATCCATAATCCAACATTCTGGGAAGTTGAGGCAGGAGGGCTGCAAATTAGAGCCCAGCTGGGACAACTTCATGATTCACCAAGTCACTGTCTCAAAAAAAAAAAGGCTATTAGCTGGGCGTGGTTGCCCACACCTGTAATCCCAGCACAGGGGAGGTTGAGGCAGGATCATCATTGTGAGTTCAAGACCAGCCTGGGCTACATAATGAGTTCCAGGTCAGTCTCAACTACAGAGTGAGACCCTGTCTCAAAAAAAAAAAAAAAAAGACTATTGTGGGTGTTTAATCTTGCTTTTACTTAATCTTCTTTTACTCAGCCCAAGCTCACTTTACAGAGCCAGCTTCTCCTCAATCTTCACTTTTACTTTTTCAAATAAACTAACACTGCAAAAACAAAAACAAAAAAACCAAAACAAAAAAAAAAAAAAAAAAAAAAAGAGGGGGACTGGGGATATTAAAAAAAAATCAAAGAAAGCTCATTAAAAAAGTTTCCTGCGGTCTATCAGGTATCAGCCAGTAGCAGCACTGTAATGGACATCTGCCCTTTTATTTCTTTATTTATTGCCCGTCTGCCATCTGAATCTAATTTCCTACCTTTGGAGCAGCCCAGGTGCTTTAAACCTTGAACTCACTAAGTGGATCAGGCAGGCCCTTGAACTCTTGATTCTTCTATCACAGCCTCCTGAGTGCTAGTGTTACAGGTGTGTACTATTATACTTACTTCTCAGAATTGCATTCACTCAACATGTATAGCATTTCCTAACCCATAGCAAAATAGTTGATACGCATTAAACACAAAGAGAACCGTAAATTTAATAAATAACCTGTCTTAAAGAATTTTCAAACAAGTCAGGGAAAAAAAATAAACCCAAAATACAGAGACAAATAAGAACATAGATCAAGCACTCTATAGCTCTACACACTCAGAAGGCTGAGGTAGGAGGTTTGCTGGAGTACGGCAGTCAGTTAAAAGCCAATCTGAGCAACATAGTAGGCCTCATTTCAAAAAAAAAGAAAAAGAGGGCCGGGAATTTTAGCTCAGCTGTTCGGTGGCCTGCCTTGCAAGCACAAGGACCTGAGTTCAATCCCTGGTACCAAAAAAAACAAAAAAAGAAAAAGAGGCCAGGAATATAGCTCAGGAGCACCACACTGTCTGGCAAGTGCAAGGTCCCAGAGTTTGAACCCCAGTACCCCCCCCCACAAAAAGCAATGATAAAACTCAGTATCCATGCAAGAGGGGAGGAAGACCTAAGAGAGAAAGCCAACAAATCCATCTGGGGAAGAGAAAACAAGTAGAAACCATGAAAGACTTTATAAAGTAAAATCTAAGCCAGCCATGGAACATGAGTGTTCACTAAATAAACCAACTCAGGGCCAGAAACAGATAGATGCATTTCAGACATAAGATCAAGAAACAGAACAAAAGTTTTTTGAAACAGCATAAAAACATACAAAAACTGAAAAATTTGCTATGGGTAGATCATAAGATATAAACAGGACTACTAACTCAGCAAGAGTAAGTACCAGTCAGCACTCTGTGCCTTGTACATGACAGGATGCTAGTTTGTTTTAGCCAATAGGACAGAAATTATTTTAACCATGTCCATGAATGGGTATCTGTGAACACCCTGTAATCTGAGCACT